TCAAGGAGATAGGAATAGAAAATACTTAGAAGCTTGCATATCACTTGGCATGTGATAAATCAGCCTTAAGACACAGAAATGGTGATGACTGCAAATCCCAAAGTAAGTCAAGCTCAACCACACGTTCTGAGTGAGCTCTGGGCTAGTAGTCACTGTGGAAAAACAAAAAGTTGAGTCTGTCCTGCGGAGACATGACACGGAACCAGGAGGCAGGGGTCATAGCATAAGTCCTCAAGCCAAGCCAAGGAGCCTGAACTTCATCTTCAGGGAAATTGAGAGCTGTGGAAGTAAATGGCCCCAAGTTTTAGTAGAGTTGAGGGAATGCAGGCCTGTGGGGACAGGAGACGTTGCTTCTCTTGCTGCCAAACCACCTGTCATCTTACTGGCTCCTTAAGTCCTGGCAGAGAGAGAGGCTGAGGGATGGCAAGAGACGGAGATAGACAGAGGCAGGGAGAATAGCAAAGAAGCTGAGTGTGGGCTTCTCTGTAGCAGAGCTCGCTTTCTTGCTCTCTCTGCCAGCCTGTCTGAGAGACTGGCAGAGCCCCCAGCCCACTTTAAACTACCCCAGGCAAGGTTGCCGAATAATTCTCACTGCCTCCAAACGGCGCTCCACGTGGTAGCCAAGAGCCTGCTGCCAAGAGGCAAGTGGCCAAGATTCCCTTCCAACAGAGACATCCCCTTGCCAATCAGAACCCGGCCTGCACACATCTAGTAAAATCAGACTGTTTGCAGTCAGCCAAGCGGATGACATGGTCAGGACTTCTCGACCCTGCCCACCGCCTGCCCCCAACCCCAAAGTCTCCCAACAAGGAAGAAGGTCCACACCCCAAGGTCCCAAGCACCTGCCCCCTCCACGTTTAACCTCCAGGATCCATCTGCTGAAATCACAGCCTCTGGAGTCAAAATGCACAGGTTCAAAGCCCAGCCCCTCCAACTGAGCAGCTGTGCAACCTGGGGCAAGTCACCTAACCTCTCTGAGCCCCATCTGTGTCCACATAATGGGGTTCATTAACAGTTTCTGCCTCAGAGATTTGTGAGAGGGCTTAAATGAGATCATATATGAAAAGTGCTTTTCCAACACCCGGCATTTAGTCCATGCTCAATGAATGTTCATTTGGGGTATCTATAATCTGGAACTGAGCTAACTAACAATATCAGCTATCCAGAATGGGGCTAGGGACCAGACGATTTGCAGAAAAAGCCTCCAAGCAGTTAAAATAAATGGCAGAGCCAATACAGGGAATGTCCAATCATGAAAACCACTTTATATAATACTAGTAATATTATGGTCCTGTAATTAATATTATAGTAATATAGTACTCAGGAACCACTACTTCTAAGCTTTGGGCATGGCGATTTAAATACATTTTGTCATTTAACCAGTGGCGTGCTGGTAAATGCTTAACAACCAGTTCTCTGGAAGAAAAGGAGTTCTGATGTGTATCGTTTCTGTGGTGTAAACTCTCCCCACTATGGTCAACTTCTAGCTCCCACTGTGCCGTCACTATACCTGGGGATGGGAAGGGAGGCTAACAGTGGGTTCCTATCAGCCAGCTCTGGTCACCACTGCATTAACCTGCCCCATATCCCTATGAGGTCAGTGCTATGATAGCCCCATTTTCTAGACAAGGAGAGCAAGGCTCAGGGACACATCCTTGCCTGATTATGTGGTGAGCAAGCTGCTGCAGCACTAGGATTCAAATACAGGTCTATGGATTGCAAAGCTCCTGCTCTCTGCCCTTGGCCCAGCCCCCAGCCCTCGATGGCACAACAATACTGATTTTTTGGTAAAGAAAGGTGATAGTGAGTGTGTGTCTTCCCTCCCAAACTCATGCCCACCTCTGTTCAATCTGGAGGCCACTCTCCTGGTGAGGTCTCTCTGGTTTGGTTCTGCAGACCCTCCTGCTGTCCCACCTGCCATGCCACAATCCCCCTCCCTAGCCATGACCTACCCACCCCAGACAGCCAGACACCTTTATAAGATCTTTAAAAAGTCATCTGTATTTCATCAGGATTTCAGTTGATAAAAGAGGATGGGGAAAAAGAAATCAAATCATATATGATACCGCAAGCTAGATACCACTGATTTGCTGTTAATGCTTGCACAGAGTTAGCAAGCCTATGGAGAAGGGACTGAGTGAGGGAAGGACAAGGAAACACAAAGTATTGCTTTATTTTCATTCTACTTTTATTAAGTGAAGCTGGGCACCTTTCTCGTGCTGTCAGTTTTCTCAAACCATTGTGTGGCAATGTCAGATTCCACTTACTGGAATGTGTGTCTGGGCACGTGTGATCACCCACTGTGCCAAAGGGTGGAGGCCAGCATGTTTCCTAATGAACAGCTGATAGGCCCACATCCCCCACATCCTCACCTCCACAAACAGTCCCTCAAGACACAGGGGCCATGTCTGCAGCATCTGCCTGTCCTCTCCACTTCCCAGATTTTAATGTGCACAAGAATCACCCAGGATCTTGTGGAAGTATAGAGTCTGACTCCAGAGGTCCAGTGTGGGGCTGAGTCCCTGCATTTCTTAACAGGCATTCGGGTGATGCCAATGTCACCAGTCCATGGTGGACCACACTTCAAGTAGCTAAGGTCTAAATCCGAAGCACTCAAATCCCTAAATTGCTTGTAGGCCCCCAACATTCCTCTGTGTCTCAAGGTTTTCTAAATCCCCAAAGCAATTATGGCTTGACTCCTAATCACAAACACCTCAGAGTTTGCCCCAATCCATGTGGGTCTCTCACGGTCACTCTCTGTGACTGCCTTGTCTTGTACCAACTCCTATTCAACAAATACCGAGCCCCCAATCAATACCAGGCCGGCACCGCTGCTGGGAATATGGAAAGACCCAATCCCTGCCAGATAGTCTCCTTCATTTGTCAGGAAAATGCCTAAAGTCTGTGAGCTCTGTTTCCAGGTAGTAATAACAGCAGACACTTAGGTAGTACTTTTAGCATGTACAAGGGACTGTTCTAAGAACTTTATAAATATTAACCCTTTTAACCCACCCTGGGCAGTAGGTCCAGTAATTAACTTCATTTTACAGAAGAGAACCAAGGTTCATGGAAATGAAGTCATCTACCTGAAAATGAAACTATTTACCCCTCCCTCCCCCAGGAAAAAAAAAGTTATATATTTGGGACTAAAGGATGCTCTTACATAGTATCATGAACTTGACCGTGGCAGGCAAGTGGGTAAGTTGTTACACCTGACTGGGGCAGAGAGGCTTGAACAGGGAGAAGGCTTATATAATTCAGGACTCTTGGTTGTAAGCAGCAGAATCGCAACTCAAAGTATCTTAAGCATCAAAGGGAAACTGTTGCTCACATATCTGAACAATGCAGGAGTAGCTTCAGGCATGGCTAGATCCAACAGCTCAAACAAGATTGGCAGGTTTTGATTTCTCTCTCTTGGCTCTGCTTCCCTCTGTCCTCTGTTTCTCTCACCATGGCTGGCTTCCCCAGTGATTTGGGGAACATAGCTGCTGGCAGCCCCAGGGTCACATTCTCCCAGAGGAAAAAGGACTTTTCTCCCTGTCATGTTCGTTTATAAGTCACAGGGAAGTTTTGTTGGAATGCACCCACATCCAAGCATGTACATACTGTCCACGGGTGCTTTCCTGTTACAATGGCAGAGATGAGTAGTTGGAACAAAAACCATGTGGCCCATAAAGCATAAATGTTTACTATCTACCCATTTCCAGGAAAACCTAGTTTAGACTGCAACAGTAACAACAATAACACTTAGCTAACATAAACTGAGTACACAGTATATACCAGATACAGTTAGTTCTAAGCACTCGTTTGTCTCTTAAAACAATGCATTGAGGTGGGAAAACGAAAACCTGAAGGGGTTAAGAGCAGTCAAGCTCAAGGTCGGGCAGCCAGCAATCAGGAGAACTGGGTTTTGAATTCAGCAGCATGACCTCAAATCCCATACTCTTAACAGCTCTGCTAATCAAACAAGGATCTTCTGGAAGCTTGAGTAGGTAGGTTTTTCTAAATCAGGGTGTGATTTTTCAACTACTGGTTCAAGAAACACACATACGTGAACTTGTATTTTCTAAAGTATAAATGCTAAAGCAAATGGTGAATCCTACATAGAGCTCCCACTGCTTGTGAGCTGTTTACTGTTGCCCCATCAATGCTCTGATGGACAGAAGTATCCCATTGAACCATTGGGGTCTCCCAGCGGGCAGAGGGGCCCAAAACCCCATGAGCTGGCTGAGACTTTATGTCCCAGAAGTAGGGGCTTTAATGCCACCTGAGTCCAACATAAGCACCAGCCCTTGCCCACTGAGGGCCCCAGGCAGGAACTCCAGAGATAAACCCACCTCTTTTGAGATGGGGTCTCACCAGGTCCCACCACAGAATTCTGAGGAGCCCCCGAACCTCTGATGTTTCTCGTTAATTTGTAAAGCTCTGCCTAGGAAGTTGCTGGGGCAGCCCCAAGGATCAAGTCCTGCCTTCAGTGGGTCCCTGGGACACTTTGGGCTGGGGAGGATAGAGACCCTTACTGCCAGTAGAGGGAAGCAGGAGCTGGTGGTCAGAAGCATGTCCCATGTTGGAAGAAAGTTCACGGCTTCTTAGTCTTAGATTCAAATTCTGATGTTGCCACTTAGCAGCTCTGTGATCGTGAGCTAGGCGGTTCCTCTCTCCGAGCCTCAGTTTCCCCCTCTGTAAAATGGGTGCGATGGTAACCCTCCCCCCGCCAACTGAAGGGTACCTGTGACTTTAAGAGATAACTTACAGTAAGCGTTTGGCACAGCATATGAAAGCTAAGAGAACCGGCTTTGCAGCCAGACTGGCTTAGCTTCAAATCCTGTCTATACTACACTGCTGTGCAAACACTACTTTGCTGAACCTCAGTTTCCCGATCTGTAATGGGAATCAGTGTAGAACTTGCCTCTTGGGGTTGTTGTGAGGATTAACTCAGCTTATGGGTGGTTAGGACTGACACAGTAAAATGCTCAGCAGCTTTAGCTTTTTTTTTAGACCATCAGTGGGTAATTGTTGAGGTTGTAACAAGGTTTGAGGTAGGCACATATCCCACGACAGCGTGAACACCCAATCATCACACTTATGAACTACAGAGGATCAGCTTTAGCTTTTAAAGATTACCTTCAACCAAGGCACGTAAGATGATCTTATGATCATCTTAGTAATGCAGTATACCTTTACTTTCTGAGCTAAGGGTAACACGAACTGGCCTCTGGGAAGACTGTCCCAGTCCCTGGGGAACTGATCCAGTGTTCCAGGGCCCTGATGCTGGGGGAGCCAGCCCTGCAAATACCCCAGCTCCATAGAGCTCCCTGCTACTGAGGTTTGGGGCCAGGTCCCCAGGGCAGACATCCTTCTAATTGGGTTTCCTGCATCAGTGCCTCCGGGGCTGTGTAGAGATAACTGATGGGGTGCCCTGCATGGGGCCTCAGAGCCAGGGAAAGGTGGGTCTGCCCGGTCTCTGGACATGGCCAGGTCCTCTAAGGGCCTGGCCCAGGTTTCTCACCTCCAGCCCATAAAACTCTGAGTTCCAATGGCATACCTACCCCCTGCAGACCTGACATCCCTTGCGGAGGCCATCTCAGATCTCCCATGGCCAAGAGGGAACCCTGGGCTCCTGCCTGCTCCCCACCCTTTCTTCCAGTGTCTTCCCCATCTCAGGAAAAAGTGGCATATCCATTCCAGATGTTCAGGCCAGGAGCCTGGGAGGCATTTCCATTCACTCCATTCTGCCACATTAAATCATCCACCAGTGAGCACCATTAGCTCCACTTTTCGTGAATCCCAAATCGTTCGCCACTCCCAACCAGTCTCCTTCTGGCCACCTGCTTGCCCCCATAACGCTGTTTCAGAGGGATCCCCAATAACACTGTCAGATGGCATTACTTCTCTTTGTACCCCTCTGTCAGCTCTGTGGGCACTAAGTCAAAAACCCAGACCCCCTGTGTGGCTAAGGAGGCCTGTACAGCCTGGTGTAGCCTTGCTCTCCCCCTGCACCTCCAACCCCCAACGGCTCTGGTCACACGAGCTTTCAGTCCTGCAGCAGCCCTCCCTGATATAAGCCACACACACATGCACGTGCGCACACACACACAAACCCAGACACACAGATATTCACAGAGGTAAGAAGTACACACCCAGACACATCCCACACTACCCAGACACACATGCTTCTTCCCATGGCAGACTCCTTATAGTTCATGATCCATTTAATAACCCCCTTGCCCTGCTGCTCTATCATGGCACATTGTTGATTTGCTTTGCAGGATCACAATTTGTGATTCTTTTACCCTATTTGTTTACGTGCTTCTTATTGGTCCCTCCAGCCCCCTTCTAGACTATTCATGCCATGAGAGAACTTTTTTTTGTTGTTGTTCATTGCTGTATTCTTAGTACCCAGCATACAGTAGGCACTTTATAAGTGTTGAAGGAAGGAAGGAATAATCCCCTAATCTCTTTTCTATTTTAGTAAGGGGGCTGCACTTGCATGCTTGTCTATGGGTTAAAGTGTCCCGGAAAAAAACAAACAAATGTGGAGCAGCCAAAAGGGGGTTAGAAGTTCAGGAGACTTACCATTCACTCTATGCTTATCTTTAATGTCTCAGTTTAAAAGATGACATGTATACCGCTTATAGAAAAATGTATCTTTGAAAATTAATCTTTTAAAATAGGATACTCCTGCAGTTCTCAGGATCTGCTGGCTCAGCATCCTGGCTGGAAAGGCCAGGCTGGGTTCCCAGGTGGGTGCTGTCAACATCTTTTTAGGTAGGAGTGAGGGGTCCAAACAGCAGCTGGGTTTGAGAGCCGGGGGTCTGTATCACTCTCCCCAGCCTGAGGAGAAGGGGCTGGGGTGGAGGCCTCACAGGGGTCCCATTTCCTGCGCCCTCTATCTTCCTGGCCAGCCTGTGTGCCAATGTTCCTTCATTAAGTTTGTCTAAGGCTGGATGTTCCTGAAGCCACACAGCCAGCTGTAGGAATCGAGGGCACAAGGACAGGGATTGCAGTTTGACAGTTTTTCCTCGACTCTTCACAGGAATGGATGCTGAAGAGACTGGCCTATAATCACAAAGTCTGTCCTCATACCATTTCTTTTAAATAGAAAGTTATACATTACACATAGAGCCCTGATCAATATCATTATCTCAAAAATTTCCCTTATCCTGAAGGATTTAAAAATATTTTGCAATGAGATTCACGGATCCCCCAGACCTCAGTCTTGCTACATCCTCATGTGGGTGCTCCAGGCTTTTAAAATGGCTCTTCCCTCCCAAAGTCCAGTTCTCTGCCCAGTGCCAAGCTGACTTTTCACCCTGCCCAATCACACGATGACTGGCTTTCTCCAAGTGTCTGATCTTCTTAGAGAAGATGGAGGTTTATAGAAGAAGAAGAAGAGGAGGGGGAGAAGGGTGAAGGGCAGGGGAGGGGAGGAAGAGGAGGAGGGGGAGGAGAAGGGAAGAGGAGGGAGAGGAGGAGAAGGAGGGAGAGGAGGGGGAGGAGGGGGAGGAAGAAGAAAGAAGAGGAAGAAGAAGGAAGAAGGAAGAAGGAAGAAGAAGAAGAAGAAGAAGAAGAAGAAGAAGAAGAAGAAGAAGAAGAAGAAGAAAGAAGAAGAAAGAAGAAGAAAGAAGAAGAAGAAGAAAGAAGAAGAAAGAAGAAGAAAGAAGAAGAAAGAAGAAGAAAGAAGAAGAAAGAAGAAGAAAGAAGAAGAAAGAAGAAGAAAGAAGAAGAAGAAGAAACAACAACCCAGAGGGGCTTCCAGTTCGTCATCTGCTATTAATCTCCCTGCCCCCGACCAATACTGCTGAGTCCTTCCTATTTGTAGGGTGGAAAGAAGAGGGGATTGCCTCTGATCCTGTTTTCACCTGAGATAATTAAAAACTGTTTTCCTATTAACCTGTTCCACTGATGTCTGTCTGCCTAGCCTCTTTTCTTTGAACCTCCTTGCTTGTGTCTCTATGGAATCATGTTGGTCCTTTGCACAACTCTACAGGGATTTGGTCTAATATCTGTCTTCTGAAGGTCCTATTTGCTTACTGATCCCTGGACAATCTCAGGTTGAGACAATGTGGCAGTCCCCCACAGTGTCTGCATGGACAGCCAGTGAATATTCCCCTTCAAATGCACCTCCTGGAATATGTTAGTTGTTAGCTATTACTAAAGCCATGAATTACTATCCCTGAGTGACCCTTTCATCCTCTCCAGCTCCCTTCACCAGCTAAAAATGACTTATGGGGTAGAAATGGCAAATATATAGCATTCAAGTGGCCACTGCCATCTCACATGCCAGTGGCAGACATTACTAATGGATTGCCCACTTTTACCCCACCTTACCTTTCATCTAACCACTGATGAATCTGGTCAGCTGGATCTCTACAGTAGAGCTCAAATCAAATCAATTGTTGCCCATCCTCCATCCTCCACCATTCTTTGTTCAGACACCTAAAAACACCTTGAACCTGACCTTCTAGCTTCTCCGTCTGTTCCCTTTCCCAGAGTGACTTTAAAAAAAAAAAGCTTTGATTTTTTAAACACAAACCAGATACTGGCACTTCCCTACTGAAAATCCTCCAATGGCTTCCTATCGCAATTAGAATAGGATGCCAACTCTCTCCTATGCTCAAGCCCTGCAAGACCTGGCCTTCTTGGTATGTACTGTCAGCTTCTCCCAACTGGAATGGGAATTCCTAGAATTATTAATCCTACTGTACAGATGTACACTAGCCGTCCAGGGTAAGGCAGTGGCCCTAGTGCCTTCAGCAGTGCCTGGCATATCAAATGTTTATAGACTGAATAGACTCTCTTTCGCTGATCCAGAATGTGGTGTAAGAATTCTTCTCAACGTGACATTCTAGGAAGCTACTGCTGAATTGTCAAAGTTTGCATGCAAGATGCAACCTACATTCAAAGCTTATCTGGGCAAGTCTACCCACCTCCAGTTATTTGGGAATGAAGCAATGTATAAATAAATAATTTTAGCCCTCCTGACCAGCTTACTTGCTTTCATTACATGTACAGAAAAATTTAATCCTTTATTCTTTGTAGTGGAAAATGGTTTGGTGAAGCTAAGCTTTGGGTCCAACAGGGCTGTTGACGGGATCCCTCAGCTTGGGTGTCTGATGACAGGCACCTTGCTGAGTCTGTGAGGAACTTCATCTGTGTTGGGACCAATGCATCAGTGAGGCCGCACTGCAGAGAAAGATGCTCGGGAAAGTCAGGCCATGTGCTGCTACCTCCTTAGGACATCACCCTTCACAACGGGTTGAGTCACCATGATGGCTGGAAAAAGGTTCTAGAAAATCTAAACTTCTGGAAGGCCCAGGAGTCCTAGAACTAGAGGAACCACTGGGAGGCAGAGGAAAAATAATCCAAAAAAGGGAGCCATGATTGGGGTGAACTCTGGTTTCCCTGTCCAGGGACATCCTGGAGCAAAAGGTGAACATTTCTGGTGTTTCTGCCAGGTTTCTTGGGGAACAGGGATGCTGGCAGGAGGAAAAGTGGATGGAGGGAGAGAAGAGTAATTAGTGCTATTAATTACATCTCAACCACAGCCTGCATTTCTGCCCCGGGATTAAAGAAACATTCATTTGGAACGACTATTAAGGTCTTAAATTCAATGCTTCACAAATCAGGGCGGTGGAATGAAAATTCTTTCTCTGTAGGGACCAGGAGGCAGAGAGCAGAGAATTTTCTATTCAGGTTGCTGCAGCCCAGCTGGAAAAGCCCAGGCTTGTGAGCCAGGGTGGAAGATGGTTTGCTGGTTATTGTTGTTGGCGGGGCTTTCTTTTTTTTTTTTCCTAAAGCTGCTTCAGGCGGGGATGTGTTCCAAATGTATAATCTAATATGCTATAAAAGTCACTAATGTGATTATACTTTTATATCATATTAGAGAAAATGAATACTAATTCAATACCAAACACTAATTCGGTAGAACCCCAAATTGCTGAGAGGCTGCAAAACATTTACTGGGCTGAACTTCCCACGGCTGATGCCTGAGAGTCATGGAGTTTTTAGGACTTGCCACATCCAGTTTGTAAGTTGGGCAGTCAGAGATTCCGGGGTCTGCTGGGGTCTGCCATCTCCCCTGTGGTGGACAGATGCCAG